ACAACGTCATGTACAGACACGATTCATTGTTTGTACCTGTTGTACCAACCATGACTATGTCTCAGTGATAGGAGAAACATCATTGACTAGTTACTAGAAACCTAGTCAATATCCTAAACACATAACTGAGACTAGGAGAATTTTACTGAGTAAGTAATTATTCTGATGAATCTAGATCTAGAGGAACATAATCTGGTTGCTTGGCTCAAGGTATATGAGCCTGAGCATATCATGTATTATAAAAAATATAGAAATCTATCTCAATCACAATCATCATCTTAATTCATGTCACCATCAATAGCTGCAAAGGACAGTTTAACCATTTCCTTATACCAGCTCACTCCGTGATTAATTTCTTTATGGTGACAGGAGATAGAGTTAAGTTGTGACAAATTGTTATACATTTAGTCAATATGATCAATTGGGTCAGAATGAAGGCGGAACTGTATTTCAGGTAATTACAAAATGATACCTTGTTGCTACCAAGAGAAAGCTACTCAGCACTATGTACATTGAGATTATATCACGTGCTCAGTTTTTCCATTCACTATTTACCCAGAACATGTTGATGCCTGACGCACGCTTAGTGCAGTTGTACAACACCTACATAACTTTTATCAAGTGATAGTCTCCGCCATTCATGGTCTGGCCCCAGTCAAAGAAAAAGCCGTTTCTTCTTTTGGGGGCATTGGGGTTGTTGTATTTGCCGGCAAGACTGTCTTTCGATAAAGCGGAGCTGCTGGAGGATCTGAGAGCTTTGCCGCTCTACGAGCTACTGTTACCCATAGGTTCTTGTCCGCTTGCGACTTTGCTGAGAGCGCGGTATCAGGTGGTGCGAGTATTTTAGTCACCCTGGGAGCCTCTGTTGTTATCGCGCTCTTCGAGAGTTGGTGGGTCTTACGGGGGGTTTCATTTGCCTGTGTGGTTCCAATGGCAAACAACGTTACTATTGTAACTATACTTTCAATAAGAGGCGTCACTGTGGCCGTCGCCGTTGTTCTTGCCTTGGTTTTAGCCCAGGCGTCGATTATTTCTAAGAATTCCTGGGCAAGATCCAGTCTTTCTTTCCTTTGCTGCTCTGTTTTTTGTATTGCCTCGGCAATACCCATCAGAGTTGAGTGAATTGTTGCGCTGGGATTGGTAGCCAGTGCACTGCTAGGTATTTGGAATTTAATAGGACTCTAGTTCAAGATTGTTGGTATGACAGGGTCAATCTCTGTGATATCACAGGTAATGAGAATGGGGTTTGCTACTGCAGAAGCGGTGACTAATTAACGTGTATATTTATATCTATCTCTAACTGTGGACGCCCCTGAAGCGTTGATAAAACCTGAGTCCACTTATGAACCTAAGGCATTAATCTAAACCTCAGGCCTCCCAGAGTAAGTGCTCCGACACTGGCAACTCTTTCTTTAGAGAGCAAATTGCCAACCTTTTTGGTATCAATCACATTGTAATCTTCAAACCCACAACTCCAACCATCCCATGAAAACTATACCGTAAAATACTCAAATGTAGGAAAATAAGATCGTGTTTCTAACAGCACTCTTCCCAAGATCAATTCACTCCCATAACTCCTTAATGTTGTACATCTTTATTTACTCAATCTGATCCTGAGTGTACGTTTTCACATTAGCTAGTCGATTGGTTTTGGCTCTTTCAACCCAACCTTGCATACATAAAGTAATCTTATTTGTATTGATAAGATTTTCAACAGCCTTGTTTGATACTGATTGGGTCATTGCATCAGCAGAATTATCTTTACTGTCTATCCATCGCACCTCACGAATTTCACCTCTTTTGTAGCTCTGCTGCAGTGCCATGATATCAATCATCAATTGTTTTTCTTTGGTGGTACCGAGCTTGACGAGGCACTTATATAGCGACCTGCTATCTGTGCACACGATGATTGGGACTTGTGGAATATCGAGCTTATGGATGGTACTGAACTTGTTAGAGATGGTGTTAATGGTTCCAGCAATTGCCACAGCCATGTCAACACCGTGAGCCATGGCATAGATTTCCAAAGCCAAGACGCTGCGCGTGACACGTTTGCACTTCGTGGACGACCAGTGTATAATATTGCCGGTCATTTTAAAGCTGTCAGTTAGATAATCCTCCTCACCACCAAGCACAATAGTGTAGCCAATCTGAGACGTCAGGTCCTTGTTATTTGCAAATGACACATCGACAAATACAAAAAGCTTCATACTTCTCAAATTCATTGGTACATAACGTAAACCCCTGGCAGTATTTTCTTTCTGCCATTTGAGTCGTTTGTTGAGCAATGCTGTCTCGTCACTGTTCGGATCTTTGTGTTGCGCTGCAGCTGATAAGTCGAAAGAGGCCTCTGGTTGGCATATTGTTGCTATGTAGGCTCCTCGAGCCCTTTGCTGCATGTATGATTTGCTATCAGTTGCCAGCGAAAGTTTGTCTGCCTGATTCTTTTGCTGTAGTACTAGGTCATCACCTTCAAGTGTCAATTTGCATCCATTAAACAGTAGAGGATGATCTGTAGATAGGAACTCTTTCGGTTTTACCTTAAAAGCCAATTCGCGATCCTCAGTTTCTGCAAATGCTCCATCACTTAGGCCTAACGTGTCATCGGTCTGCATTCCAACTATTCCAAATGATGGTGCCTCCTTCGTGGTCACCAAAAGGCATGGATCAAATGTTGATGTCTCCATAAGTAGCTTCTCACAATGGTGGCGGAAGTATGTAGCCCACCAATGCGTTCCAGATTCTGCTAGTCCGTACAAAGGCTTGATAATTTTCATGATGGTGTTTGGTGGAAACATATGACATATTTGGATTGGGATTTCTGCAACTATCTGCTGTTGGAGGACGGTATCTGACTGCACGTACGCCTGGGTAATATCCCGCAACCAGATAGTCAGCGTGGTCGCCTTACATAATGTTGGAGTGAGCGCAAGGATAATACGTTGGCTGGCGCGCTGTATAGTAGGACTCTATGTAAGTACTTGACGTTTCTCTATATTGTTGTATCCCATTACAAAGAGTCGGGACTTCTCGTATGGCTTGTCTGTTTCTTTTCCTTTGACTTCATGGACCAACCTTGCTTTAAACATCTTTGAGTTACCATGCTTAACTGCGTCATACGGCTCGAACTTGAAAACACCGTTACCAATGAGTGCTTCGATTTCTGCCTAATTGGATAGCTCAAACGGAGCTCCTGGGGTCAGTATCTTTCCTTCCTTGCGTAACTTCACGGCCAACTCTGCGTCAGCTATCTCTTTGTCACTCAAGAACATGTTACCAGTAAACTGTGATGTTGAATCTGGGGTGGAAATCGGCTTGTTCTTGGATCCTTTTGGTCGACCGCGGCGACGTGGCGCTGCAGGAATTTGTGCGTCCGGGTTATATTTGTAGTTGTCGTCGTCTTGCTGGAGTGCCTGGCTTTCTTCAATAGACGTTTCTGCTGCCGGAATCTCAGTATTTTCATCCTGATAGTATGGCTTAACTGATGTAATCCGGAAGGTCATTGGTCGGCTGTTAACCTCGACAGTACATGCCGTATTGTCTTCGTTCCGTGCGAGAAGCTTGTGAGGTCCAGTCCATCCAGCACCTTCTCTCCACACAAGGACGTCGCTTGTAAGAGGGAGCTGCAGTGTGTCAAGAATTTTGGGCCCATTTCGAATGCCGAGAGCATCTTTCACTTGTCGCCTGGCCTTAAGCTTGCGGATCTCAGTCATTGCTTTCTTCACAGCCTCGGCGCGCTGTGTAATGTTAGTAGATGGTGGGGATGTTTGTGTCACAAACCATCACTGGGATGTCGTGTTGCACCCAGGCAACCGAGTTATGACGTGCATAAAATAACACAATTTAGGTATTGTAATGGTTACAGTGTTGTGATAGCAACAGTTGCCATTCAGAGTACTAGTTAGTTACTGTGTTATGGCTGTAAACTACTACACCCTTGGTTATAGTATTGAAGCTCGTGTACTTAAGGAAGCTCTAGGACTGGATGTGTACTGTAGCTTTTTGTCTTGTAAATTACTCATGTTTTAGAATCTAATTATTAATCTAAATATCTCGTCCTCATTATCAGCTTCTGTCTTCGTCTCCGTCTTCGTCTTCGTCTTCGTCCTCGTCTTCGTCCTCGTCTTCGTCCTCGTCTTCGTCCTCGTCTTCGTCCTCGTCTTCGTCCTCGTCTTCGTCCTCGTCTTCGTCCTCGTCCTTGTCTCCGTCTTCGTCCTCGTCTTCGTCCTTGACAGTTTGAGTCATGCGTGGGTACGCGCCGAAGACAAGCAATGTTGGGACAAGACCGTCTGGACCTGCGGTGTCGTTAACCGCTTTAACGGCCATCTGGAGGATGTTTTCTGCTGCCACATTTCGTAACTCGACTGACAAGATCTCATAAGCTCGCTTTACCGGCCCGTGGAATTTCTCGGCCTTCCCGATGGAGTGATGTGCTTCAATTGGGACTTCCTTCACTTGGATACTTAGCAGCCGAGCGTTTTCAACGAATTCATTAGCTTTCAGGTTAGTTCCTGCATCCGTGATTATGAAGTCAGGAGGTCCCAGGTATGTGTCAATCCACATTGCTCGCAGTGTTTCCCAGGTTGCCTTGGCAGTCATATTGGTTAGGAACCTTGCTGCTTGAAACGCGGTGGCTTCGTAGACTGCATGAAGAACTGGCTTGCCTTGTATGTACATGACATCGACGACCAAGCGAAAATTGAAGTCCATGTCTTCTCGCAACGTAAAGCGGAAACGGCCAGGTGCCTTCGAATGGATCTGACACTGGTGACAGAACTTATTTATTTGTCGCAAGGTATCTTCATTTAATTCATCGTACCCCGCGCGCGAGAGTAATCTGCTACGTCGGTCTGCGGCTGGATGACCGAATCGACGATGGAGCTGCCGAAGCTCGATTTCAGTCAGGTGGCAAGCTGCTGCGGTGGCTTCCAGGTCAAGAAGGAAGAAAGGGTGTCCCCATTTGCGTACGACAGGGTATATTTCTTGCTTGCCCTGTTTATTTATATGGATGAGTAAGTCTCGAGTATTATTGAGAAACACACATTTTTGTCCATATCAGTTAAGCAAAGCAGAAACGGAGTATTTGCCTGAACGACTGTAAATGTTATTATGCCAAACGGGATTTTCACATCGACCGTTCTGAGGGTTACCACATGGGGGCTATCACCAAAAGTTATACAATGGTTACCCGCTGTTCTTGTGTCCATCTCGAGCCCTGGGATGATCTTTTGGAGAGCTTTAACTTGGTTTTCTCCAGCTGTTGACAGCCCTGCCGCTCCTGTGTCGGACAAAATCCCCTGGAAGACCTCTGAATTGTAACAGCCGTGAAACTGAAAAATGGAGCTTGGCTCTGTTAGGGCCCATTCAAATGGGTCATTGGCTGTCAGAGCATGCTCAGCTGCTTGATTGTTGAGCTGGACAGCTGTATTCCATCCATCCATTGTACCGTAACTTGTGAGGAATTGCTCAGTTTTTTCCTCAGACCACGCATTAAACATGCCAATGAGATCAGTTTCATCATCATTCTGGTTCACTTCGTAGCCTTTGTAGTCGACGATGAACATGCCCAGGGTATCATTGTCAGCGGGGAGATCATTTTCAGCCATGTACGTCCACCAGCTATTGATTCTTCCTTGAAGATCGCTTGGTTTGTGCTGTGTGGACCAGCACCCCGCCTTTTTACACACGAAGCAATTCTTCTGGCGGTCGTTATTGCTGCCGGATCCACCTCGAAGTCCACCCTTAAAACTACTTCGGCCGTCTCTTGCTTGCAGTCCTCCTTGGACATAGCCTAGCTTTCCACTGTACCTACGGTCGACAAAGTACTGTCCATTATCCACTTTTTCATTATCGAAGTGTTCTTCTGTCTGATGGAACAGCCCTGCATTCCGTGGAGTGCAGTCCATATGGACCTTAACACTAGATCGAAGCTCAGCGCAGGCATCTTCAAATCCGTCGTGGGGGCGTATTAGTGCTTGTGCATAGGCTGATTCGCCTTGGCATGCGGCATATAATTGTCCAGCGAGACTGTGGCTTTTGTGAGCGTAATTGCATCTGAGAGCTTCATATATTTTCTGGAGCTTTTCGATAACCAAATCAAGACATTGGAGGGTATTTCTGTCAGGGTTATCTTTAATTACTTTCTGTAGGGTAAGAACTCGCCATTCAGTCAGGTAATTTTGCTCTTCTGTTTTCGTGTGAAATCTTCTCTTAACCTTATGGACCATATCGTTAAAAGTCAGGTCTTCAAGATGCTCAGCGAGATACCTGAAGTAGTAGTCGTGCGCGGCACCTCGTAGCATTGTGGAGAAAGCATCTTTGAACAGACTTTCTCCAATTCCTGCAATCCGGCGTTTTTCGAAGAAGATTCTGAGCTTATTTTCAAGCACCTCATAGTGTCTGGCTCCGAACTTATCTTGAGGATTGACATAAAGTTTACTTAGATCCATCAGTGCTCTCGAGGTATTGATACATTTGGTTGGTGTTTCTTTCGCCCATTTCGGAATGTATGTCTTGCCGGAGTCATCGTCTGAGTCAATCTCCATGCCATCTCTCGCCTTCTGCCTCTTCTCTGGTCTCTTCTTGTATCCATCACTTCTCCTGTAGAGATCTTCGCACCGATCAATAGGGTATGTGGGGTATATTGTTTCCTCCTCTTTTTCACCCTTTGGCGGGATGTATTTGTCCTTGCCAGTTTTCGTGCTTTTGAGGTCGGCAGACACGGTGCCAGTATCATCACTGCAATTATTATCGACCACTTTAACAGTGCTTTGTATGCCCTCGTTGAAGACAAGTGACTGAAATTCAGGCCCGTATCTAATCATCTGGTCAAGTTCGCGCTTCGGCCACTGGGGTAGGTCGTGGAGATTATTTTTAAGCAATGCTGCCAGCTGCTGTGCGACGGTCGATCGTTTGTTGTTCTCACACCCTACATATATTCATCTTGACATAAGGAATGTCTTGAATCTTCTAAGAATTGGTGGGTAGACCATGGCGAAGTTATCAGAATCCCACTCAACAAAGTCCTCTTGGAAGATTTCGAGGAGCATGTGGTTGATGAGGCCTTGGTGGTAATTGTCGATCCATGTGACAATAGTGATGTTCAGATCCGTAACTTTATCACTAACGTTTTCCTTTCCTCCTGTATCTGTTTTCGTTATGTGTGGCTTCACCCATTTGGCCTGGAGAAGTCCCACAAACTCTGGAAGCTTAGCTTGGCTCATATTGTCGATTCTGGCGAGGTCTTGGACGCCTGGGAGATAATGATGTCAACTTGTGATATGATGTCTCGATTTTTGCACTACTGGAACCCAACTTGTGGGACAAGCAGTCGCTTCCTATCACAGGCTGGTCGAACTTGCCGATGGGGTTGTCTTCCTATGAAGTGTTGAGCGGATTGGTTTGCAAAAGCTTGTGGCTGTTAGGCACAGATTGTATCACTTGGTGAAGCGAGTGGGAAAGTAAAGGAGTCTGTAAATCTGTTGTGGAGAGTTGTTGATTACTCCCACTAGGACACAGAGTGCTATATAAACTATATTTTGTAATAATAAAATCTAGTGGTTGGTATTTACGTCAAAGCGCATTAATACTAACCTCACAATTAATGGGAGATTAGTGACGTGTCTTCTACACATCCCTGTCTTTACCATAATTGGAAGCACCAATTTCAACACCCCTTCTCACTTTGTACCAAAAAGTTTTGTGCATAAGTGGTTAAGTCTCGGTCTTGGTAGGCCTTTTGTACAAATATCTGCAAGATTTTCACTTGAAGGAATGTGTAGTAAAGTTAGCAAACCGTCATCAATTCTTTCTCTAGTGAAATGGTAAGCAATATCAATGTGCTTTGTAGCGTCATTGATTTTATGATTGTGAGCGAGATAAATAGCGGAGTTATTGTCTGTTGTAAGGGACGAGGGTATATTTTTGTTCACTAGTTGATGAAGCCCACGTGTCATCCAAAGGAATTGTCTAGCTGCAAGTGATAGTGCCATATACTCAGCTTCACAAGTGGAGTGAGCGACGGTACGTTGTTTGCGAGACTTCCAGGCGACTGTGGATCCTCCTAGTTGGAACAAATAACCCGAGAAGCTCCTTCGAGTATCTAGGCAATTTCCGTACGATGCATCACAGTATCCGTTGAGTATCAAGGGAGATTTGAACTCATATGTAAGTTTTAAATCCCTTGTTCCTTTGATGTATCGCAAGACTCGCTTGAACGCACTTAGATGAATGATTGATGGATCCGAACTGAATTGTGAGAGATGTGAGATTGCATATGCAAGGTCAGGCCTCGTTGCAGACACGACATACATTATAGATCCGACTATTTGCTGATACAGCGTTGCGTTAGCCCTAGGTTCTCCAGTTGTCGCTGCCATCAGTCGTTGGTTACACTCAATAGGCGTGGAGACCGAATTGCACTCTTGCATAGAAAATCGATTCAGGACTCTATCTATGTATGCGGTTTGCGACAAGCTGATTCCAGCATTACAGTACTCAATTTGAATTCCAAGTAGCCAGTGAAGTGTTCCCATATCTTTGACCTTGAATTCAGCTTTAAGCTGGTTAACAGTTTCACTCAATAGCAAATCTTGTTCTCCAAATACTACAATATCATCCACATATACCGCTAAGTATAATTCTCCTGGATTGTGGATAAAGACACAGGGATCAAAGGGTGACAAAGAAAACCCGAGGGGAATGATAAATTCAGCCAACCTGAAAAACCATTGCCGTGGTGATTGCTTCAATCTGTATATACACCTATTAAGTTTTGCAACATGGCCCTCTTGCCTGTACCCTTCAGGAAGTTCCATATAGATTTCTTCATTCAAGATCCCATATAGAAATGCGGTTTTTATGTCAAGTTGTCTTGGTCTCCAATTTTTCGAGGCAGAAATTGCTAAGAGTAATCTTAAAGAATCAAATCGCACAACTGGAGCAAATGTTTCATCGTAATCTAGTCCTTGGATCTGTGAGAATCCTTTTGCGACGTAACGTGCTTCATATCTTTCGATTTCCCCATATGCATCTTTTTTAATTTTGCATACCCATTTGCCACCAACAACTTTGCGACCTGCAGGACGAGGAACAACGTTCCACACATCATGTTCTTTGAGGGATGACATCTCTTCTTCAAATGCTATTTTCCAGTCTTCCCAGTTTGCTGATGCCTTAGCACCATTGTACGTTTTGGGTTCTGATACATCAATGACATTTAAAAGTGCTAATTCTTGTCCCTCATTACCACTATTGTTATCATTCGAACTTTGCAATGTGGGTTGATGAAGATCACGAGAAGTTTTCCACCACTCCCCCGTTATTGTATCTTCATAAGTTCGAGGACGTTTAGTGCGTTTAGGTCTGGAATTGACATTGTTATTATGATCTTGATTAAAAAGATTTTGAGAAGATGTTGAAGCAGAAGTTGAGGCAGATGGTTGAGGTTCGAGTTGAATATAAGTTGGTACTGATGACTCTTGCGATGGTTCTGACTGAGACAGATAACTAGGATCTTGATTATGAGAGAGATCTTGAATGTTTTGTCCTTCACCAACATTAGAGGAATTTTTCCAATTGTTTAACAATATTGTTGACGTTATTGGAGTTTGTTGATGAATCTTGTGTGGAGACAAGGTTGATGTTAGATCAGCGACAGGTTGATCACCCTCGTAGGGGATAAACTTTACATCAGCCGATATAACTATCTTTTTCCTTGCAGGAACAAAAATTTGATATTGGTGATCAGTTTTGGTGTATCCAACAAATATACCTTTCTCAGCATTTGGTAGAAGTTTGCATCCTGATGGTCGCTTAGCCATGGGAATATGCACATAACATTCTTGACCAAATGGATGAAGGTGTAGAATGGATGGTTTTCTCGCGTGGAAAGCTTCATATGGCGTCTGTCCATTAACAGCACTATGTGCCTGACAATTTTTAGTGTAGATGAAGGATTTTGCTGCTTCAGCCCATATCCGCTTATCTTTAATTGATGCGAGAATGGCACGAACTCCTTTGATAACAGATCGATTTAGCCATTCGGCTATTCCGTTTGATTCGGGAGAATAGGGAGGCGTCAGATGATGACTTATCCCCTTCTGAACCAGAAAATCGGAGAGCGTTGCATTGACATACTCACCGCCGTTGTCTGTTCTGAGTGATTTAACTTGACAATTGTATTGCGTTTCTAATGCCTTAACAAAATTGATAATAGCCTGAGCCGCCTCAGATTTTTGTATAAGGAATTGAATCGTGGTACAGCGTGCCGCGTCATCAACAAAACTTATGTAGTATAGTGCATTGCCATACGACAGAACTGGAAACGGTCCAGCAAAATCTGAGTGAATGTATTTGCCTTTCGATGTTGATTGTGCAGCTGATGAGGCTGGCTTTTTGTGTACGGATTTAGATGACATGCAGGAATCACAGTGAAAGTTCTTTGGGCAATTTGGAATTACACCTGAGTTCTGGATGAGCTTCTCTGTCTTGGTTATTGTCGAAGGAGATGCATGACTGAGGGCTTTATGCCAGAATTCATAGGTGGAGCAAGCTACTTCATTTTTACGTGCGACTTCCCTGATCACTGGCAAGGCACCGTCGTAATGAGCTTCCAACCAGATTTTATTATTTTTATATATAATCATCACTTTGCCATTGTCATGGAGTAAGTATCCCTTGGATCTAGCTTTCTTCCAAGAAAATAGCGGTAAAGATAAATTTGGCACATATAGTACATCATTAACCTTGAAAGTTGACACAGTTCCATCTGATATCTCACAGTGTAACAACACACTTCCTTTCCCTTCGATTGACATTCTCTCATTTGAACTTGACATCACATAACCAGAGCAAGGCACGAGTTGTTCGAATCGTTCTGGGTAAGGACACATGTGAGCAGTTGCGCAAGTATCAAGATAAAATAGATGACTAACCTGATCAATGCCCGTAACGGTTATATTTGCCCGTTGTAAGGTTATTTCAGATTGTGTCAAATTCGGTTGGGACAATTTCTCTTTAAGTCTTGGGCAAGAGTTATAAACATGCCCTTAATACTCGGTTGGAAAACGTTTCTTGCAGAAGGAACATTCGTTAGACGAGGGGCGTTTGGAACGCTTGAATACCCTTCCAGGTTTCCTTGGCTTGAGAGAGTTATTGTCTGCTTTGCCAACTTACGTGATGAGAGCTGTTGGAGGAGGTGCAGTGCGATCTAGATCAAGAAGACGTTGTTTAACCACGGCATAGGTACAATTGTCCTTAGTCGTCAAGTTATCAACTACATCCTTATGATGTTCACAGAAAGAACTCAACAAGTAACTCCTCTTAACTTCATCATCATCAAGAAAGTCGGCTAGCTTGTGGCGGTTCGAGTTTGAAGACTCTCGGGCTAACAATGTTAACCAATCATACTCCGTCTCAAATTCATCGATTACCGAACTGACAGTGCGACTTGGATCGTATGCATTTGCGAGGAGCGCAACCGATCTAAGTTGGTGGATCAATGTAAAAGAGCTGTTCTGGTGGTACTGCTCTTTCAAATACTTCCACATCAAGTGAGGGTCTTTGAGTTTTAAGATCTTGCCAAGGATCTTTGAACCGACAACCTGAATATATATATTTACAGCAATACTCGAAAGCTGGCTGTATGCTCCTTTTTCTTCAGGCGAAGCGTCCTTGTCCGGCTTTTTGCCATCGACAACAATCTCGTTGAGTCCCTGCCCTTCAAATACTGCAGTCATTGTAATGGCCCACAACTCATAGGTTTCAGGACCAGTGAGGTGGGTTACATTGGTTAATGACATTGCGCGCAAGTAGTTGGTTCCGA